ACAATACACAAAAACGTACCTTTGATTGGTCCTTGGGGTTCAAATCCGAACAGGTGGAGAAGTGGGCGAAGAAGCCATCCGTCAAGTAATGCACCCATCCCAATCTCAGGCAACAATAAGGGTGACAACTCTGCAACCGCAATGAGCAAGAGGGCATTGGCGATCTCGGGATGCTGTTCGGCAAGGTCTCCTGCATCATATCGTCAATGTTCCGGAACGGTCAGATGCTCGTCACGCACCTATGGTTACGGCAACATGTTGAACAACGAACTTGAGAGAATCAGCGTGACTTTTCAATAGTTCTTCGCTGACTCCGAGCTTGGTGGCGACCTGTAAAAAGCTTTCCTCGAAGCGGTCAAGAACCGTGTTGATCATGATTGTACGATTGTCGTGACCGGGAGCCTCCCCGGGTGGCGGGAACATCTCCATCAGCTCCTCGAATAGGACAACGAAGATATCCTTGTGCTCTTCTATTACGGAGTGGAGAGAAACGCCACTATCCTCTGCGGCTCCGTCGCAAACTTTGCGCAAAGCAGCAGCAGTAACAGTGATATTGACAATAGCCTCCCTGAACTCTGTGATCTTCTCAGATGGATACAACTCTACGGCGTGATGATAGAATCCATCGGTATACTCCTTGATATTTGGACTGAGCTCTGTGATTTTGTCCCAGAAAGACTCTCCTGTGTCTGGAGAATGCAATTCGTACCACGTGTGTGCTGAAGCAGATAAAGAATCAAATCCTTCTGTTAGGTTGTAAGCAGCGCCTTGGAAATGAGTAGGTAATCAAATTGACCGTGTATCGCGTCTGTGATTTTCGAAGGATTGTCAAACAGTGCTGTCAATCATTCCTGACGTCAGGAAACAATTGAAAGCGAGTAGTCCGTACTCACATTTCACCGCTCCCCATCCTTTTCCTAGATTAAACTCGATGTTCGTCGCAAGATAAAATTCCTTGAGGATGATTTTGTCGGACTCGGAGGAATGTGCACTTTTCTCGATGTTGTTGGAAGTGACTGGTTGCAGCGTTGTGGCAGCTGCCAATGTAACATATGCTAGAGTAGCGAACCACATCGTACGTAGCCGACCGTCAACTCAGTAGCTTGACCTAAGTCGACTTAAACGACGAAATTTACCTTGCCAAGGGTAAATTTAGTAAACTAGGTTCCAGAGCAACTTGAAGAACCTCGCGTTCAGCGCTCGCTGAGTCAGCGCCGTCGCCTTGTTCGGTTTTCTCGAGATGGTTTGATTTGTTCGCCGCTCGCCCCGAAGTTTGTCCTGGCCTCAACATGACATGCATGACAGTTCAGGAAACTCACTTGAAATTTGAAATTTACTTAACTCCAAGCCGCTCAGAGAAAATGTCTTAAATGTTGTGGTAGGGTTAGGGGTTATCTGCCAGTCGAATTTTCACTAAGTATTGAGTCTACACGTACAGAAGACTGCTAAATAAACGTAAAACATTTCGGAAAATGTGCAGATTGTTGCACAAAGTGTATCTACGAGCAGGAAGATGGTGGTGATGGAGCACGTACCAGTGTGTGAGCAACTTAAGATGTACAAAATTGTATGCCGACGTACTTGGTAGGGGCTTCGCATATACTACGTGACATCCTATGACCGATGTAGGTCCAGATCGTGTCAGCCTCCAGTCCAAGGCCACACTTATTTACATGTCACCCACATTTTCAGCGTTCACCCTCTCCCTTACATTCCACCACCAGTATTCAAGTGGGACATCTTCGACTGCCAACGTGCCAATCCGATCTTCACCTCACGCACTACCATGGCCCCTTCGAGCAGCATCACTTCCCCTACCGCAACTGCCACATCCTCCGTGCCCGACTCACATAAGCGTACTTTCCCATTCGCAGCGCTCATTCTGCTCGCTCTGTGCATCGCATACATCGTTGGTTACCTCGTCTACCGGCGGATCCTGAATTCCTGGAACGCTAAGCAGAACGCGGAGAAGGTGCAGAACTTCCCAGATGAATTTTTTGAGAAGAAGCCGAGAGGTACGTTCGATAGTCCGTCAGCCACTTTGCGTCGAACTCACGAGATGAAGGACCGCATCGTTTCACATGGACCCAGGGCATATGGAAGAGCAAGGCTATCGGAGAGAACACAGAGTCAGAGCCACATGTGTGTAGCAGCCTTATCGTGCGTGCATATGCTCAATGATGTTCTTCCAGCGTTCCTTTTCGAGCTCCCCTGATGGGAAACCTCTCGTTTCACCACCGCCTGTAGCCATGATCAAAGAGCATGCGTCCGGTGGTCCAACTATCACCCAATCGCAAAGGGACGTTCGCACCGCATTTCCCAAGCGCATTGCAAGAGCTGCTAGGGAGAAGGGTTCGAGGGTGCTCTCGCGTGGTCGTGTGACAGAGATTAAAGCTGATCCAAAGCTCGCACCTGTGCAGGGGCCACTCAGGCCACTGTCCATCTTGCTGTCAAGGAACAAGGAGAGAGAACGGGTTTCATTCAATTTGGCGTAGTCTTCGTCGATCGTGGGCCAGTTTGTTTGTTCGTCGTTCGTTTGTTGTGTTTTGTTTGATTTTATTTTGTTCTGGGGTTGTTGTCACAGTGACATGTACTGCGGACACAAACCTCTATCGATATAATCATGACTCTTAACTACTTTAATCTGTGTGCTACATGCAGAGTGGGACGGATACATCAGCGCCAGGTCAAACGAACTTGATTTTTATACAACTCCCTATCCAAAAATGGTCCAGTGGTACTACAAATGCGATACAATGATTCCGACAGTCATAGGAAGGTTTGATTCATACTGGACAAATTAATGTGCGTATCGATAAAAGGCAATGACAGAAAAGACGACGCATTAGAATTCGAGCGACTCAACTCTTTCTCATCATCGTGAGTCGCATATGAGGTGGGACTGGCAGAGCGATCGTCGAGTAAGTGTTTCTCGTCATCTTCCGACTCGCGAGGTGAAATTGCCCGCACGACTTCCGCAATTCTTGGGATCTTTGGTAGCGCACGATTCCTGTTCACCCGTGCGATATCTTCGCTGGGAGAGTCGGGTGTAGAACTGGAATCCTCTGCGTTGGTGATGTATTCTCGGGGAAGGAAGTCATCGAAGGTCTTTGCGGGATGCTTGACAGAGCGAGCACGGATGAGGGCGGGGTCTCTGCGTTCTACGTGTGGAGTAATGTAAGCAATTGGGCGTCATGACAGGTCTCGAGCTCGCCTGTTATAGTCACACTGCGGCGAGGAGCGGCGGGTGCTGATACAGGTTTCAGGACACCATACGTCTCTCCTGAAGGATTCTGGTAAAGTTGACCGGAGCGGTCGCGGAAAGTGTACTGCTGGGTATCAGCATCGTATGCAATCCGCTTTATGCCCTCCGGAAGACGATGCGAATCCTGGATCATGCAGATTAGTTAACTGACTGTAGGTTTATAGTAATAATAAACTGGACTGCTGGTCCACCACCAACCTCGTCGAAATAAGCCATAAGATGGTGGCAGTTGAGAATGAAGAGACGACTGACCTATGTTGTAGTCCTAGAAACTCCTATGTATATCGAGCCCCACAGTCGGCACGTGCCGATGGGTGCGGGCTGTACCCAGCTGTCATGGTACTTATCTGAGTTGGCGTAATCATTGAATCAACCACGCTAGAGACCAAAGGAAAATGGAAACCGATAACTATTTTGAAAGACGGTCAGGTTTGCCCGCATCAGATGTTCCATGCATTGTATACGCCAAGGAATTGTAGGCCAAGATCTAGAAGTTCTATGTGATTACGTGATCGCCCCCCTGAGCCATCCAGGGCTGTCCGCTCTAGTACCCATTCACTTTCTCAGTGGACCTTCGTTTACTCATGATCATCGCTATCGCTGCATTAAATGACTCTACATGCTGTTTATTTCACTTGACCAAGCATTCGAGTACCGATTATGTTCAAATCCAAGTCCCTGCCTCGTTTCCTGGACTTAGTTTGACATTCCTGCTGCGGCTAAATCAGACCGCTTGGCATCTTTACTGCAACCTCTACCAAATCTCTCACTAATCCAAGCATGTCGGCTGGGCAAATTCCAATTCTCCCTGTCAAGTACAAGTTCTGTATTCCCACAACGCGGGTGACATGATGGCAGTCCATTCACCGGCTTCAAATTTCAAGGCCAAACAATCGATCACATCTTGGTTGACTCATCGGCAAAACAAGTTCATTTTCATTGTCGCCTTCCAATGCATATGTTGCGCTGTCTCGTGGTCGGATCAGAGAAACCACGCGCTTATTGCGAGACTTCGATGACCATTCGTTTATGCAACATCCCTCAGAGAGTTTGTGGGTTGAATGCAAAGACGAACTGACTTTAGTGATGGAACTCATCTTCTTGTCCACTTTCACGGAGTGTTACAGGAATCTATTGGAGTGCATGATATTGAGGAGAACTGGTTAATGGATATATGCTAACTTCGAACCAACCACCACCTACTCACGCGTATTCGCTAAGGTTGGCAATATTGCTTCCAGGGAGTGCTGGTACGCCTTTGCTTGGCGCGAACTGGCCGTGCTCACAGACATGAGTGGGCTTAGTCACTCTGATTGAGCAAGTTCCTCGTCGTCTATCCCATTGCACCGACTACCAGGGGAGCAACGTCAATGACCGGATAATGGGTACATCACTGTGTGGGTTGCTGTCCCTCTCTTTATCTTGTGACTTCCTTACTGTTTGATAATCCGTAACACATTCGTACCATCCTCACCCTTCTGAAGAACAACTCTTTGGTCGTCGTTAGATACCAAAGCCTGCGATTTTCCTGGCAGTGCAAAGTCTTGAGGAAGGTCAGAACAAAGGAGGGCAGATAAGACACTGACTAATGTGAAGGCTTCCTCACGACGCTGAAGTGCATGATGGTTACCAGAATGAAAATAATTTTAAATGACTGCAGAAGCGATAACGAAAGGCATGGATAATACGACAAAGATTTGGGGGCTGAACACCTTTGCGGGAACATAAGTGGTCCCAGAAAAGCCCGCCAAGTGAGCTGCGAAGCAATTTTTAGGTACAGTCTTTGACAGGAGTTCGGCTTGCGTATATTTTGATACAGATTGTAACATTTCAGCGGACGTCCATGCTAGGGTATCAGTCGGAACTATGTTCGCGACTATGAATGGCCCGTTGTATCACAGCGGGGGCAAGGCATCCATCTGTTCGTTTCCGAAAAGGAAGTTGGATTGGTCAATAAAATCACCTCCCAAAGATAGAGCAGTTTGATTCACTGGGCCAGCATTCATAACACCATGGCGATAGATAGTATGAGGGGAGTTTGTGTAGATTGTAAATTGCCTTGAGTGACATATTGTCTGCCTCGTTGAACAGACAGGACTTCCAGAAACACATGCTACTGGTAACCACCTCACAAGTGTGGAAGACACCAGCGCTTGCAGAAATACAAACACTTTGATTCTCTGTGAGCTGTATCGTCGAAACATTCATCGAAGCCCACTCACAAGTTGAGTTGATACCAACTATATCTGTCATCTAGTGTGCGCTGACGGTTGTGGGAAGATCAATCGGACTTAGGACAATGCAGCAAACTCTGTCGGATGAGTCGCAATAGAGAGGGAGCAATCTGCCCCAAGCGCCACCTCGGCCTAGAGAACAGAGCCTGTGCTCTGATGGCATCCAACCCTGCAATACTTGGTATTGTGATCAAGAGGCACTGCAATCAGGGGTCTTAGACAGGAGACCAGCGAAATAAGAAAGCAACTCACCTGCACACGCCTTGCACAGGGAGTGCCTAACAACAAGGGCAATCATTCCACTTTCTATAACGGCAGTTACAACATTCACGCAAGCCAAAATCCAATGCACTAAATGTCACTTACAAGTAGCAGAAGCAACCCAAGATATTGCTACACCTATCAGTGCAGCGACAAAATCGGAAAACATGTAAATTGAAGAAGTGCCTGAAAGGGCATCGTTTAGGAATTTAAGAAAACTATAGTTCGGATTTGGCTCCTATCAAGTACGGCCAGGGGAACACCTTGCATGTGATGGGAATCAAGATCACGGACAAACTCAGCCTAATTTATTGTACGTACTACTGTGAGCACACAAAAATGTAACAATGTGGACATGAATACTTGCCTGTAATTTCAATACAATGTCTGTCACTGGGTAAAGGGCAGCGAGCAGCTGGCTCAACGATGTACCCCCAGCTTTTATCGTGACTTTGATTGCACTAAATCCCAGAACAGACTAGTGACGAAAATTAACCGACCGATATGATCAGCCGTGAATGAATAAAATCCGTTGTTGTTGAATACGATGAGGCGTTTGTGTGCAATGATGCAAAATGTCCTTTGGCAGGGGACCCATGGCTTGCAGCACTGTCATTCAATGAATTATTGTAAAGATGTAGCGCATCAAACCTTACCTTGAAATTTCGCTTTAAGTGCCAGAATTCTGCGTGTCAAGGCAGAATCCTAGACAAATACATGTTTGCAGAAATGGGATGAGGCCGCGGATGCTTGCGTTGTTATATACATAAAGCAAGATGGGGAAATAGCTGGAACCGCTGGGTACTTGAAACTAACATATCAAGGGCGTAGGCGCTCATGCAAAACAGCACAGTATTCCTTCCTTGGGGTTAGGGTTCCGAATGAAGACGACAGCTTTCTAGCAGAACGCGTCACTGTTCGTCGCGCTTTCACGATCCACAACCAACACGTATATCTCCTTCCTTTAATTACATTCACTCAAGATGCCGCTCGAGGCAACGATGATGATAATTGACAACTCAGAATACATGCGCAATGGAGACTATATCCCATCCCGCTTCGAAGCCCAGTCTGATGCTGTCAAGACCATCTTCCAGACCAAGATTGATTCAAATCCAGAGAACACTGTTGGCGTCATGACAATGGCTAACAAAGGGTACGAGTCAGTTACGTGAGCAAACTACGATTGCTGATGTTTCTTGAAGGCCTGAGGTTCTCGTGACCCATTCG